GTTCCTATTTGCATGATTGCTGCTCAGCACAAACCCTCCTGTGGATTGATTGCTGCTCAGCACAAACCCTCCTGTGGATTGATTGCTGCTCGGCACAACTTTTCCTGTCAGGACAGTAAATTCCATTAATCACATTTTTATGTGCAGATGAATACATGACATTACCCCCCAACTGAAGAACGCCCACCGGGCGGGCAGGACCAGGCGTGAAAATAGAGAATTTTGCGGCAAGCATGTATATCAGACGGCGGAACCCAAGAACGATCTGCTGGTCCATAACCTTTCCAATCCACCAAGTACTGTAAAGTGCCCCGAGAAAACCTGGAATCAATTATGGAGGAGACCTCATACTCTTCCTGTCCAGAAACAACTAAGGGAGGAGGAGGGACACCTGAGACAGTATATTTATTGCAAACAAGAGGTTTGAGTAAAGACACATTAAAGGTATTAGGAATTTTCAAGGAGGCCGGAAGGACCAGAGAGTACGGAACAGGATTGCGCTTACAAAGGACACGAAAAGGTCCAAGGAACCTAGGAGCATATTTCATGCTAGGGACTTTGACCCTGATGTTACGAGAAGATAACCAAACCCTCTCACCCACTTGGTAAACAGGGTTGGCACCTCGACGTGTATCAGCATAATGCTTGAAACGGTCAGCAGCAGTACCCAGTGCAGATTGAACTTTAACCCTGGTATCACGAATGGAAGCCAGAAGCAGAAATAGCCAAAGCAGAAAGAGCCTTATCAGAAAAAAACAGACCGTAGGACAGTAGGATGCCAGCCATTATTAACAAAAAGTGGACTATGCCCAGAGGAGTTATGGTCAGCATTATTCCTAGCAAACTCGGCCCATGGTAGTAATTCGGACCAATTGTCTTGAGTGCTATTAATGAAACAACGCAAATATAATTCCAATGACTGGTTAGCCCTATCAGCTGTACCATTAGTCTGGGGGTGGTAAGAGGATGAAAAAGACAATTCAATTCCTAATTGTTTATTGAAGGCCCTCCAAAACCAGCACAAGAACTGAGAACCTCTATCAGATACTATATTGTGAGGAATGCCATGCAGACGGACAATTTCTCGACCAAAGATCAGTACCAGGTCTTGAGATGACGGCAATCTCTTGAGAGGAATAAAATGAGCCATTTTAGAAAAACTGTCCACAAACATGAGAATAGTGGTATAACCATTAGAACTAGGAAGTTTAACAATGAAGTCCATGGACAAGTGGGACCATGGGACCTCAGGAATAGGAAGAGGTTGCAACAAGCCACAAGGGAGTTTATGAGGCACTTTGGAAACCGCAGAAACAGAATAAGACCACCTAACTTGTCTAGAAGATAATCGCTTGGCATCTCCTATGTAAGCCAGGTTTTTGTGATCAGTAATGATCAAAAGGGGGTCCTTGGAACCCTCTAAAAGATGTTGCCACTCCTTGAGAGCTAGAATAATGGCCAACAATTCTCTATTGCCAATATCGTAATAGCGCTCAGCAGGAGACAACTTTCTAAAAAAAGTAACCACAAGGATGTAACAGAGTTTCCTGGCTCTCCCTCTGGGAGAGAACTGCCCCTACCCCTGTCTCCGAAGCGTCAGCCTCCAGTATGAAAGGCTTACTTGTGGCAGGATGTATCAATATGTCAGGGGAAGGCAATCCGCTGTTTGAGAGTTTCAAAGGCTTCAATAGCTTCCTTAGACAATATCGTATTGCGTGTCATATTGGTGATGGGGGCTATTACTGAAGAAATCCCTTTATAAATCTTCTGTAATAATTGGCAAAACCAATGAACCTTTGAATGGCTTTCAACCCGGTGGGTAAAGGCCACTGTAGAACAGGCTCTAGTTTTTTAGGCTCCATCTGAAACCCAGAGACAGAAATATTATATCCTAAAAACTGTACTTCAGACTGGTCAAAGATAAATTTTTCCAATTTACAATAAAGTTATTTTTTAAACAAGGTTTGCAGAACTTGTTTAACGTGATCATGGTGAGACTTGAGGTCAGGACAATAAATAAGGATATCATCCAGATAGACCAAGACAAACGAGTAAATATAAGCCCTGAGTACATCATTAATGAAATCTTGGAAAACCGCTGGAGCGTTGCACAACCCGAATGGCATCACTAGATATTCATAGTGTCCACTTCTGGTATAAAATGCAGTCTTCCACTCGTGGTTTTCCTTGATTCTCACTAAATTGTACGTGCTTCTAAGGTCAAGCTTAGTAAACACTTTAGCGCCCTGGAGTCTGTCAAATAATTCAGCAATAAGAGGAATGGGGTAGGCGTTCTTAATGGTGATTTTGTTCAATGCCCTGTAATCGATACATGGGCGCAATTCACCATCCTTTTTAGATACAAAAAAAGAATCCTGCACCAGCAGGCGAGGATGATTTTCATATATGGCCTTTATTCAATGAATCCTTAATATATTCCTCCATTACACTACTCTCCTGAGGAGATAGAGCATAGACTGCTCCCTTAGGTGGCATAGCGCTGGGTAGTAAGTTAATGGAAAAGTCATATGGTCTGTGAGGAGGTAGAGTATTAGACTGAGTCTTGCTGAATACTTCTTTAATGTCTCGGTATTGTATAGGGATCTCGGGATTTTGAGGTGTACTAGTGGGTAATTCAACAGTGCCTACTCTTTTGGTGACATGCAATATACACCTTTCATTACACTCCTTACCCCCATTCTAATATTTCCACATTAGCCCAGTCAATGTGAGGGTTATGCTTGCTAAGCCATGGAAATCCTAATATGATAGGACAAAAAGGAGATGCAATCACCTGAAATGTAATCTCTTCCTTATGTAAGGCACCAACGGAAATATTAATGGGTAAGGTTTAATGCGTTCTCAGTGGTTGTAAGAGTGGTCTCTCATCAATAGCTTCAACAGCTAGGGGTGATAGTCTTTCCTTGATAGGTATAGTATTACCCTTGACAAATTGAACGTCGAAGTTTCCAGCAGCACCTGAATCCGTCAGGGCTTTGCATGAAAAGTTATTTTTGTCAAAGGCGACAGAAATATCAAGGAGAAGTCTGTTTTTATTCTTTCCAAAGGGATGTCTCCATTACACCTAAGACTTAGGTGCAGTAGTTTTCCAGACGTATGGGACAATTGTTTCTCATATGTCCCTTTCTACCACAGTATAAACATAGGCCTTCTTTTCTATGGCATATTTCAAGATAGACCGGTTCCCTTGTCTGATATGTATCAGGGCAGTAGAGGCGTCATCCTCTCTGCATAAAGGTTCAAACATAAGTTTGAATTCCATAAGGAACTCCTGGTAATTGTGTGCCACACTCCTATTATTCTCCCATAATGGATTGGCCCAAGCTAAAGCTTTAACTGATTCATCAGGTAACCAACTTTAGCTCTGTCTGTGGGAAAAGATCCCGGTGAGGCCTCAAAATGATACTCCATTTGGTTAAGAAATCCCTGTAATTCTTGAATATGACCATCAAAATGGAGGGGAGGAGTTAGGGAGATAGTAGGTGCCTTGTGTACTATAGGTGGAGGTACATAAGGTGGAGGTGATGCCGCAGGTTGCAGGTGCGCTGTTCGGGTAAGAAGCGTACTGAAGGCCTGGGCAAATTGATCCATGCGGTGATCATTATCTTCCAGTTTCCTTTCACAAGCAGCTATGTGCTTACACAATTCTACAGGATCTATGGCCATTTTGTAATGTCAGGATTATAGTATGATCCAGCATGTAGAATTGTGTAACACAGAGGACTGATAGGTAACGAATACCAGACCTTAGAATGACTGGACTAACGTACCAAAGAATAGTCAGAAATAGCCCAGGTCAAGGGATACAGAAAGAGACACATCAATAAGGAAAAGCCAGGGGTCAGGGATGCCAGAAAACAGTGAAGTCAATATCAATGCCAAAGTCAAATAACCAGAAAAACCACGACAGGGCACAGAGGGAGAGGAGAACTGGACCAAATACCCCGCCTGTGGATATGATTGGTTGTAACCGGCCTTTGACCAGGTTCCTATTTGCTTGATTGCTGCTCAGCACAAACCCTCCTGTGGATTGATTGCTGCTCGGCACAACTTTTCCAGTAGGCATAGTAAATGCCATTAATCTCATTTTTATGTGCAGATGAATACGTGACATATAGCATGTTTTTTTACAAAATGTACATCAGTGAAGTTTCCTGCCGCACCTGAGTCCATCAGGGCTTTGCATGAAAAGTTCTTCTTGTTAAATTTTGCCATAATATCAATAGGAGGAATCTATTTTTGTTATTCCCAGAGGACGTATCCATCACACCTAAGACCCGTCCCCTTAGGGTTCTTAGGTGCGGAAGTTTTCTGGTCGTATGGGACAAGCACTTCTCATATGTCCTTTTCTACCGCAGTATAGGCATAGACCCTCTTTTCTCCTATATTTACTTTCTGCCTCTGACAGCCTAGTGACCCCCAACTGCATAGGTTCAGGTTTGGATTGTACAGGGAGGTCAGGAACAATAGGTTTGGAGAAACGAGGTGCTAATGACATAGCCGTACGTCTGGTTCTACTTCTGGTTGTTTCCCTGGTTCTAAGTCTGTTATCAGTTTGCATGACAAATTTTATAAACTCATTGAATTTTTTAGGTAGATCTTTGACAGCAATCTCGTCCAGAATTGCTTCAGTAAATCCTTTTTTTTTTTTTTTTTTCAATTCTTTATTTTTGAGTGCAGAGTAAATTACAGGCATAAACACTGACTTGTTCAACACATGAGATCATCATAAACAGTTGGTATGGGTAGTCAAGAGATGCTGCACTTTTTTTTTTTTTTTTAATCAAGTTTGAGATATGAGGAAGACAAGAAAATGATATAGTGATGATTTGCATAACTGATTAAGCTAAGCATATCTATTCGCTTTACCAAGATTACGTTTATGCACAAAATACTTGCTAGATATGAAAGCTTGCTTGATGCATATATATAGCAGTATCTTTACAAACAGGCTAGTGTAGTTTGGTTATAATTGGTATTCAGGCTAGGTCTTGTGATGTCGCTTTAATGCCGTTTTCACTCCGGCCGTTAGGAACTACCAGTGCTGCCTCAGTGAGGAGCCGTCGTTGTGGTGTTGCTGAGACCTCAAATACAGGGGGAGTTCCGCTGCTATCCGATACCTGCTCTGTCCGTTTCATGCAGCAGTGGGTGAGTGTCCACCAGAGCAGACAGCAAAACACAGTCCAGCCCTGCCGCTCTCTGAGCTGATCGCCGGCTTCCCTGGGGTTGCAGCCGTGGTACGGAGTGCTTGTCCCACTTGGTCCCCTGGGGGCCGGTGTCAGCCGCGATGGGGGGTCTGGCGTCATCCACACATGGCTGCCGCTGCAGGGGTCATGCTGTTGCAGGCCAAGTGGGAGGCGAGTAGGAGGTCTGTCTCGCCGCTGAGGTGACACGCTTGGTGGTAGACTCAGTCCCTCCATACGGCAATGGCCGGTCTGTTGTGTAGCCCCATCCCCCCAGGGCAGCCGCTGACATTGCTGACTTGAGTGGCTGTGTTAGTGGGTAAAGGTAATCCCGCTTCCCTGTATGGCAGGGTCTGGAGGCAAGGGTTGCAGTGTTGGCTGTGAGCGCGGGGAGTGAACTGTTTCTCCCCATGTCTCCTGTGCACATGGCGTCCGCCATCTTGGGCATGGCTGTTAGGCACCCTAGCTTCAGCCGCCATGTCTTCATCAGGGCCTTGGGGTGAGGACCGGGATCACCCCCACCGGTCCAAAGTGGGGGGAACAGGGCCTTGTCCACACTCGTTTGGACCCCAGGCTGTGTTCTGTTAGGCAGGATAGTGGGGCAGCGGCCGTCTGCCCACCTCACCGCTGGAGTAGGCCTTGATTGGGGCATCGGTGGGGACTCCAGGGGACTGCAGCTCGATAAGCCAGCCTCACCCTGGATCCAGTGTCCCTTTAGCTCAGTGGACCGCCGCTGGTGGTTGGTTCTGGTGCTGGAAATCATAGTTTCAAAGCTTAGAGTTTGATGGCTTGCAGGAGCTCAGTGTGCATGCTGCCATCCAGCTCAGCGATCTGGACCCGCCCCTCAGTAAATCCTTTTTTAAATGCAGAGATTAACCTGCTATTAGTCCAGTCTACCTCAGAAGCCAAGGTGCGAAATTCTATGACATAATCTGAGATAGACCGGTTTCCTTGTTTGGGCAGACTAGATGGGCTGAATGGTTCTTATCTGCCGTCCCATTCTATGTTTCTATATGCATTATCGCAGTAGAGGCGTCATCTTCCCTGCGGAATGGTTTGTATGTTAATTTGAATTCCGCAAGGAATTTCTGGTAATTATGTGCAATACTCCTATTACTCTCCCATAACGGATTGGCCCAAGCTAAGGCTTTACCTTTAAGCCTTTGACACCGTTGATCATGCTCTCCTTCTTCAAACTCTTCAATCGCTTGGTCTCTGTGACTCTGTCCTCTTGTGGTTTTCCTCTTATCTCTCCCAATGCTCATTCAGTGTCTCCTTTTCGAATGATACCTCCTCCCCTCGTCCTGTCTCGGTTGGAGTCCCCCATGGCTCTGTCCTTGGTCCCCTTCTATTTTCTCTTTATACTGCCTCTCTTGGCAAACTTATTACCTCTTTTGGATTCCACTACCACCTGTACGCTGACACCCAGTTATATCTCAAACTCCTGTCCTAATGTGTTTTACACCCCACCTCCCATAGAATGTAAGCTCGATTGAGCAGGGTCCTCTTCTATTTATAGTTAAATCCCACTCTCATAATATTGTAAAGCGCTACAGAATCTGTTGGCGCTATATAAATGGCAATAATAATAATAAGTTTGTTCATTAGCTAACCAATCTTAGCTCTATCCGAGGGAAAAGATCCCAGTGAGGCCTCAAAATGGTACTTAAACCCATTCCAAATTTGTGCTGGTACATGAGTTAATTTAACCATGTGATTAGTAATGTCAACTATGGCTTGTCCTTCATCGTCTATCTGAAGACAGCAGTTACTAAGATTACATTTTCCGCACACTCCTCCTTCTGTTACCAATAAATAATCAAGAGCCAGTCTGTTTTGATAACTTGCTGATCTCATACAGGTATTCTGTTTAGCCAGGAGATTGAGAGCTTCAGCGATTTAACATGTATATAGGGGTTCTGTACCCGTAAGTACTGTTTTCTGTCCAAGTGGCAGGTCCATAATAATTATTAATTCATTGGGGTGGCCATTCATCATCCTTCCAGTTGCCTATATTTAGGGGTATTCGTCACCTTCTATGATTTGTATCATATACTTTAACTCCTAAAGTCTCTCCTGTTTGGATTGGCAGCAAGAAAAAGGATGGTTTAAGCATGCCTAACACACATGCCCCATCCCAATCTTGAGGTAGTTCAGAACAAGCCTTTTTACCACAGATCCAATACAAATTGGCCAGGGCTTTCCAGTTACTTATGTCCATACTTATTTTAGATTAGTATAATTTATGAATGGGCTAGTGGGTTCTGAAATATTTGAGGCAGACCGTTAAGTAGCGGTCAGGCTATTAGCATTATATGCTCTTTGGCCTAAACATGTTAACTCTCCCACCGGGGTTTTATATTCTAGGCCTGTCTGGCTATACAAACATTGCCAATTCTGGACGTTTTTAGTAGCCATTCTGATTTACCCCTTAAATTGACTTGGTTTGTAAGCAGGGCCGGCGCTACCTGTAAGGCGGACTAGGCAGCCGCCTAGGGCGCCCCTTGGGAGGGGGCGCCGCCAGGAGCGCCGGCCCCGCTCATGCTGCAGCCGCCCGAGCGCTCTGTAAAGAGCCTCGGGCGGCTGCAGCTTTTCCCGGGCGGTGCGTCCATGAGGGCAGACCGCACCGCCCGGGCGCAGCCTGAGGAGAGGGGCTGACAGGAGGGAAGTGCTGAGCGCTCCCTCCTGTCAGCTTCCTCTATGTAGCGTGGCCGAGCCCAGTATAGCCGGCGGGTACAGGGAGCAGCTGTTTCCTGTACCCGGCCGGACTAACAGGAAGTGCACACAATGTGTTCACTTCCTGTTAGTCCGGCCGGGTACAGGAGACAGCTGCTCCCTGTACCCGCGGACTATACTGGGCTCGGCCACGCTACTACACAGGTAGGGGAGGG